CCCTTTTAATGATTGATATTAAAGACTTTTCAGAAATTAAAGATAAGTCTGGTGACTTAAATACTTTTTCAGGTGATTTAGATATTATATCTGTACAAAATCGTTGAAGTTTTAAAAAGTTATCAGATTTGAAGCTTTCTTGGTGAATAAGATTAAAATGTTTCTCAATCCATTCAATTTTATTTTCTATTAAATATTTTTGCAAGTAATCTACTAGTTCTTGAAGAAATAATTTACCAGCAGCTATCAAGACTTTAAGAATTTCCAAAACATCTAGCTCATTAAATGAAAGAATGCCACCATAAATATATCTATGTTACGAAAAAAGAGTATCGAAATTTAATATACATTCAAATCATCATAAACAATGTGAGTTTTATGTATCGATAAACACTTACTTTAAAATGATTTGAAAGATTTCCGGTGAAATGTTTGGCAATTTCAAATGAGTCAAGATATTCTCATTACCTTTTTTATTTGAAGCCAAAGCTCGACGCAAATATGGAGAACGGTAGCACAAAATATTCATATGAGTACGGAATATTTTTACATTAGGATCTGCACCAACTTCCAAAGTAACATCATAATATTCATCATCATCTAATAATTCAATATAATTTTTAATTAAGTTTAAAAAAATTGTGAAGACATTTTGATGGTGAAGAGTTTTTTTTGTTGAAGCTGCTAAAAATTTTTTAGTCTATTTTAAGGTGATCATATTATGCATGGACGGATTGTCAAAAAAATAATCATGTCTTTCAACGTATAAAAATGCGATCACTTCGTATTTTCATAAAATTCGTTAATTTTAAAAAATACTCTTGTTTTACAAAATAGAAGCAAATCATTTCCTTTACGCAAACCTTGGGTCAATAAAGTCTAAAATATATTATCTTAAGAAGTACAGTATCTAACGTGTTCTATATACAAAAATGATTACAAAAGAATAAGAATAATAAGTGATTGAACACACGAAATAAATTAATTGCGACACATTCTTTAAAAGCTAAAGTTTGCAGAATAATTGAATTAAATAAAGATTAATGACATGATAATGGGAAAACGTTTTGCGGTTAAAAATTTTTAAAATAATTATAGTAAGTATATTTCATCTAGCGAACTTTTAATCCTCTCGCGATCTTAATTTAGTAATTGTTCTTTACCAATAAGTTTGGTTCTTACTTAGTTTTATAAATAATGTTTTAAATAGTTTAGATACATCAAGAAACTTTTTTGAGTTAAGTGTTCCGCAGGTATTAAAGTTCAGTAAGATTACGATGTATTACGCAGTAAACTACGAAGTCCGGCTCTGTAATATTTAGAAGTACTACGGTCGAAATACTTCGTAGATTAGTATTCTTCAGACTTTTACCGTAATTATTCGCATTTAAAATACTAACGAAGTATTTCGTATATCCACGGAACACTATTCCAAATTAAATTAATTATTTATTTAAACTACTTATTTAAAGGATGTAAATGCCGGTTAATTAACTTCGCCCCGTAATATATATATTCGGAAAGGTCGTTACGGGGCAATAAAACATTTTAAAAAATTCCTGATGCAAGTCTTAAAAAGCTTAGCGTCAAGTTCGTTATCAGATATACTGTAAATCATTCATTATATACTTCTATGCCCGAATTTATATTAGCCCGGTCAATTATTTAAATTATTAAAATCAATAGTTTGTGATAATAATTTTACTAAAAAATCATCTACATCATTCATTTATTTATTGTTACACAATAAAAGAGTTTTCCAGTTAAAGAAAATAACGCGTTAATTAAAAACAACGTATAAAAATTATTCACATCTATTTATCTCATTAATACATGACATTCATTGAATATACAATCGAAATTATCGCATTATTAAAGATTGATACATAAAAATCAAAATTAAAAATTAAGACATCTTTAATTGAATCAAGTTCAGCTATCGAGCCATATTTATAGTTTGAGGATCGTTTCTCAAACCCTAACCTAACCCTGGTATAGGGATTTGAAGAGCTTATACCCAGTCCACAGAAAATTTTGATAAAGTACCTTTGGTTATTTCTAAATGATTCACACATACATTTGCCGTTGATTATTCCACGGTTATCCAATTAAAACCAAACGCGCGTTAAATAAATATTTTCATATTTAACAATTATCTTAGATTTGTTATCCATCAACACTTGACTTTTGCATTAAAGTTCAAAAATACCTTAGTAAAAGGACTAAAACAAAATCAGCAAATATAAAGAATAATGTTATCAAAAAATCCTTGGATCAAAGTATTACAAATTTCTAACTTTTATTTGAAAGTTTAAATTGAGAGATATCCATTTGAGAGTCTGGTTCTTTACATTACATCCATAAGGAGATAGTGAGAATCGCACCTAATTTACCTAATTTAACGACTGTATATGCGGTTGCGATATAAAAGAAGTTTTGGATTTTGGTTATTATTTCAATAGGTTAAATAGGTTGGTACTTCAAAAAAAAAAAAACGAACGATATATTTAACGATACACGTTACTTCAGCTCCGTATTAGCTTCGAACTTTATATATGATCATATACCGAATTTTTGTAACCAATCATAAAAAATTTCAAATAGACACCTTGTTTCAATTTACTATTCGAGAGCTGTTATTCTCATTCTTGAAGTTCATAATTAATTACTTTTGAGTCATGGGGAATTATAAAAGCATCCTTCAGCTTGACATTTCATCTATAAAATATTAAAGATAATTCTTTATAAAAAAGATGAACACGATTGTCATGCCGAAAAATGGTATGGAAAAAATATAATAATATTCAAAAAATTCCATATTCTTTATAAAATAGATGAAATCAGATGCTTGAGTTAGTGCTGTTTATTAATGAGTATCAAACCTCATGACACTTAGCATATAGGACATTATTTTTAAAAAAATTTTTGATTCTATAAATAAATAGTGTATAGTATATTAGTACGGTATGATAGGATTCGATAGATAAGGTATGATTGATTATGTATAGGTACGATACTAATTATACCAATATGTTTCACAACAAAAAATCATTAATATTTTAATCCTATAGGTACTATTAATCATACGATTGTATGATATAAATCATACCGTTATGTCAAATAATCACAATTGAAAATCATAAACCCAGATATTATTAATTACAATTCGTAAATAATGATTTTATGTATGATGGTATGAAAATTTAGTCTTCTTACTTCACGATAATATTTTTCCTACCATTTTTTTCATTTAAATTAACCTTTTCTCTTTAACACTTTGCATTATCATTTTATCAATGGAAGTTGATACAGTAACTAGTGAACTTGTAATTGAAGCGAAATTACATTATAAGATAGGAAAATGCAACTCAAACAAAATGAAATTGATCTGAATTGCAGCTCTAAGGAATTGAATAATAAAATGGGACCATATTGTTGTGCAAAGTTGTTTAAATTTTCTAAAGGCAAACTTTCTCGACATTACTCAAGGTGTAACTTACCGTTACGGGTTCAATAAATACAATTATAATATGCAAAAAAGTTCTAATGATTTAAAACGCTTTTTTTTATTTGGTTTGGTAAATGAAATAAAATTTTGTTCTATATAAAAAAAAATAAAATAAAATGAATTCATTTCAAATAAAAGCAATATATTTTTTTACTTTTGATTTACTATATATGAATGCCAAGCACAAATATAACATTTATTACTAATTTTTACTTAAGACTATTATTAATATCCTTCAAACGAACATAAATGAATATGGTCAACGTCTCTGATATAATTCAAAGTCTGATAACTGTTTGCAATTCAGGTTTGATGCTTTATATGTGCAGTTGCGTACCTTACCTGCAACTTTAGTTGTATGTATTAATGCTACTTGGAAACAGGTACGATATGATTCACAAATGTATTAATCGTACCAGTACAATATTAATCGTAACGGCAATTAAACAATCATCGTAATGGATGGATGCGCAATAACGTAACGTTACCATTTAAAGAATACCGATAAATAAATAATGTCTTGAATTGCGAAGGATATGACGTTATTATCTATGTCAGTTCAATGACAATGTTAATGAAATACGCCGTGCACTCGTACTGCGTTATCAAAAGAATTTGCTATACTTCACTATTATTATTTGAAGTTATCATTAAATACATTTATTGTGAAAAGGATGATTTGAAGGAATTAAAAGATCCTGATGTATAAGAGCTCTTATTGGTAGTAGATGAACTAATGTACAAACTTTAATCCCTTGTATCTAAGAATACTTGATTCAACACGACCCTATAGAACTGATCTATCAATATGAAATATTCACCGAAGTTTGTAAAAAAATTATCCAAACCTGAAACCGATAAATTTTTTGGTTTAGAGCCACCTTTGATGGAATAATTATAAAAAAGGATTTGTAATTGAACGAAATTATTATTTGGGAATTGAGTCAAACGAAGCACCAAATCCCTGCGATTTCACGAGATTTATCATGAAGTAGGGCGTTTGGTAAAGTCAATGAGATCTTTTCATATTTCAGCAGAAAAAGTTAATAACTTTTAAAAAATTACTACAAGAAGATTTGTTGGATGACATCTTGGCATTCCATATATTCAAATTGCTCGCGGATACAAAGACGTGTCATTATAATGTGATTTTGATGGTTCTACTATTTATGCTAATGTTATTTACTTTTGACTTAATTTATAAATAGCACTTTGAAATTTTGCAGCCGTTTATAACAGTTTTTGTAGGCATTCAAACTTAAATTGTTAAATTCCAAAGTTTATTTCAAATATAATGATTACTATACTATAACATTATGTTTAAACAAACTAATATTATGAAATATTTAAATTACAGACTAAGAAACTTTTATTTAATCTCAATGTTTAAATAATTCTCGATAAAAATCATCTATGGTTATTTAAATATAATAAAAAATTTACTTTAAGATTTGTATTACATTTCTGTTTTACAATTATTATCTTGTGAATATATGGGTAGTATGCTATTAAAATTGAGGTACGAGACATAGTAAATCATATGATCCGTACCTCAAGCACACCACCTATATTATCCTTATAAATTTATTAATTAATTTTGCTTAATTTACCTTCAGGAATTTCTAATTCATCTTGATCTCCTGAATGAACATTTGATTTATTAAATATCCATCATCATCTAATGAGATTACAATGATGAAATTGTAATTTTAGTAATAAACAATTAGTTTTACATCGCTTTCTACGCTTTCTACTATAATGCGTTCTAATTTAATCATTTGTATGATAAATTAATAAACAATTTAGTGTTAAAAAATTATTAAGAATTAAATAAAACTTTACAAATTATCACTTACCGTCCGTTGCCATTAATAAGTTTAATCTTTTTTTGACTTAATTTTTAAAATCTTCTTAATTTTCTAATTAAAATAAAAAAAAATTATAATGACAAATTTAGTTATTATTTAAAAAGCTTAATATTAACGAAATGATTTATTACCATTGTGAAGAGATTTGAATTCCTTTTATATTTGCCAACATTCATATCTGTAAATATTAATTATATAAAGTTTTAAATTATCAAATAAAGTAATTTTATAACAAAATATTAAAATATATATTCTTACCAATTATTGATGTAGACACGCTCTGTTCAGTATAATCTTTTTTTAATATTTTTTATTTTAGTCAAATTAATTATTAAATTTATTATAATTACATATAAAAAGTATTACTTACTATTTGAAATATTAAGACTGTAATGCATGCTGTTGTATGCTTTTTTTATAAAAAAAGAAATACCAAATTAATATTAAATTAAACTTAAATATTTAAAAAATTTAAATGACAACTTTCTTACTCTTTTGTAATTTAAAAATAAAAAAATTAAATATTTTTTTAATAATGCATATAATGAACATAATAAACAATTAAATAGATTACCTTCAGTGGCATTTCTTGGTTCAGGTAAATTCTTAAAAGTGTAAAGTTTACTAAATGTTCTGACTAATGAACTATTGTAGTTTATACTTATATTAGGTTTTGGATTTGATTGTGTATTGTCAAAATTAATGTTTTGTTCTTTATTTTCATTTTTATAATACGATTTTTGTATTTCTAGAATTTGATCAAATAGGGTAACAATATCATGTCTTTTTAATGGGTCAGCATCCCAACATTGTACCATTAAATATGCATATTCCAATGGAGTTCCCGGTATGATTTCTGGTCTCACTCCATTCATTATTTTCATTACTAGATCATAATTATGTTTAAAGTCGGCAAATGGCGGTTGTCCAGATGAAATCTCCCACATAAGCATACCGATACTATAAATATCTGATGCAAGATTCCCATATATACTTCCTAATGGTTTATCAGCAGGTCCACAAAATCCAAAATCAATAATACGCCATAGTCCATTATATTCAGAATATAATATATTTCCTGAATGCAAATCTCTATGAATAGAATTTTCTTGATGAAGGCGTAAAACTGCTGTGGTTATGTTTTCAATTATTTTGATTCTTTGTTTCCATGTAAGTTGGTTATGATTTTGTTGTAAATACTTTCTTAAATCTATTTTGAATAAGATCATTACAAGAAAATAATAATCTTTATTTTGTGGATCTTGAGAAAGACCATAAGATTGAGCGATACTTCCCCATTTGCTGCTTAAAGTTAAGTGAGATTCAGCCTATAAAACAGAATAATTATTTTTATTTAAACGAAACTTTAATTATTCATTTTTATAATTACTTTAAAATTACATACCTCTTCAAACCAGATTCTGTTAGCACTTTCAATATTTTCTAATCTTTTGAGTATTACATTTTCACTTCCGTGTCTTGTTAATTTTGATCGATAGAATCCCATTTTGCATAAGGACCATGCTTTATAAATTTCAGAGCATCCACCTTTAGTTAGATATTCAATATTTTGTATATTATTGTATGGTATCCATTCAACTATTCTAAATGGAAGAACAGCTTCCGATTGACATTTTTGTATTAAATTATCAATTATATTATTTCCAGATGACCATTCTGAAATTTTTGCTTTTAAATAACTTCGAATACAATGTTCACAATATGATGTTGATAAACATTCTATTTTGCAGTTTTCACAAACTCTTTTTATTCCTTGATTTGTCGTAACTTTATGGTAATCATGAGACAAAGTTAATATTTGTATTGCCTCTGATTTTTCCTCTTTTGAGAGTGATGAGTCCATGAAAATTGTTTGTTGTTTAAATTCATACTGTTTGTTTATGTCTGTGTTATGTTCAGTTAATGCATATGCTCTATTAATTGCAGCATAAACCAATTTTTTATTAATAGAGGCCATAATAGAAAAATATATTTCTTAAAAAGATAAACGGTGTGAAAACTCCGGCTTTATACCAATAGAATATGATCGACACTGTAGTTATGTTACACATTCGCAAATTAGTACTAATGTGCATGACAAAATTTAAGATAAAATGTTAATCATCATTAGAAAAGGTAAAGTAAAAATTTATCATTAACTTACAAAATACTTTGTATTGTATGGAAAATCTAAACAATGTGATCTGCCAAAATGTAAAATAAATTGATTATATGAGGGATGGATAACGTTCTACGAATTTGTTCGAATATTCCCTTTTAATTATAAAGAAAAATATAATTTTTTTGTTTATAGGCGAGAAATAACTAAAAAATTCTATTTTGTGATAAGTAAATTTTTTTGATATAATAGTGTCAAAAATGTTTAAAATATAAATAAAATAAATAAGATAAGCTATAAAAAAGTTCGTATATGACGAAACCAAAGAAAAAAAAACAGAAAATCGAGACAAAATAAAGATCACTGCTCGATTGATCCTATAAAAAATAACAACAACATAATAAACGAAAGGAAAAAAAAACACCTTACTATTAAAGAAGGAATTTAAGAAAAAAAATTATATTTGATCGTCATGATCAACAAAGTAAAAAGAAAAGAAAGAATATGACTTCTGAAAGGATACAAGCTGAAAGATTATCAAAGTAAATTTTTTAAAAAAAATAAATAAAAAAAATAAACCATTGCTTTGGTATTAGAAAAAAAAGGAATAATAAAGAATGTTAAATTGCCTTATCTTAATTTACTAGAATGAACTGCTCTTAAAGAATATGAAGCTTATTAAAAAATTACTATATCTTAAATATAAATTTTGAAAATCTAGTTAAATAATAATTTATTCCTTGGATAAATTTTTTTTTGATAAATAAATTTTTTAACAAAAAATACATAAAATTAAATAAAATCGATTAGCTCGAGAAACGATACATCATTATTAGAGATTGGACTTGACTCTCAACTAACTCAAGTTAACTTAAGTCATTTCTGACTCGAGTTATGTTTTCCTTATATGAATTAGGGATTTATATACTGTAATGTAACTAAAGTTATTGTATATTTTATTCGAGTAATTCGAGTTTATTATTGGAATATTAACTCATTAATAAAAATTGGCAGAACACATAACTACTAAAATTTGTTTGGCATTAGTTAAATATAATGATTTTAATGATCTCATTTTTTAAAGAAACTTTTTCCAATAAAAATTTGTAATGACTAATAAAAAACTTCTTAAAGAAATTGAATAAATTGTTACATTAATTTATAAAATATGCCAAAATATGCTGTTGGAAATATAAATTAAAATTTTTAATTAATAACCTTTAAATTCTAAATAAGAAGCCGTGTAGAAACTTCATTCCCTTAACCTTTAATGATTTATATTCCAAGCGAAATGAAGAAATGAAGAACTGTTATTAGGATCAGTCTGGTCAGATTTTTGTATTATTATTTTATGTTTATTGCATTAATTCTTTTAAATATTAAACGCGAATAATTTTTAAACATATTTAATGTGCTTTTGTCTAAATTGAACAGAAATATATTCTTTGGCGATTTGATTATCAAATAAAGAAACGCAGTTTCAATATATTGGTAATTTTTAAATCCATATCCACTTGAGGTAGCACCAGAATTGACTCGAGTTATTCTCATATGCACTCGAATTGACATATGTGCCGGGTTTATCGAGTTTTTGACTTAGGCATTAAAATCAAACTCGACTTTATTCGAGTAAGAATGAGTTGAATTGAGTCCATCCAAACCATTAATGATTAATTGATTCTACTTTTTAAATTGATCAACGATTTCTTTTTTTTAAACAAAAATGTTAACCGATAATTATAGAACAACGTTAATAACTCATTAATGCGATTAATTGAATTAAAATTTACTTAAAATTTATTATTTATGATATAATATGCACGATAAAACAATTACTTAACATTACGAGCTCAATACTTCGTGCTGAGGAAATATTACATATTTTCCAAATTTGTCAGTAATTTAATTTAGCGAAACTAAACCTAATCGTTATTAGAAAGTTTTCATATAATAATTATAATACTTTGCGCTAGCAATTTTAGCAAAGCATTTTTAAAACTTTTAAAAAAATAAATATTTATGGTTTGATTGTACTTTTAGTGGAGCAACATTCTCGTTAACTTTAAATATAATTATCGTTTATTTTGTTAATTTAAAACAATACAATGAATTCATAATAATATAAAAATGGTATACCTAACCAATTGTTAATCATTTTGGCATGAAACAGGTTTAGAACGATAATTTATAAACCTTTGCTATTTTAGTAAAAGAATAAATATAATACATTTATATGTACTTTATTATGTGAAATTTGCAAAATTAATTTATATTCACACTTGAGCACACCGCTTTTTAGCTTTAATAGCATTCAATCCAAGAAATGATTAATTTCACATTCACCACATATTATACTCCGAATTGATGCATTTTCTTTAGTAAAGATTTCTACTTGCCATCTTCAGGATACTTTGGAGCTTGATCATTCACCATCGTTTAATTGCGACGACAAGTCTCTTGTGTATAGTAAATAGAGGAGATCTCAAGTTGAGGCATAAATAGTATATATTGTGAAAATTTGTTTGTTGTATAATAATTTACGCAAGAGACTGTCCGAGTTGTCGCGTTTCGTGATTGATTTGAAATAACATCATTGTCTGAACACTTGCTTCAAATCAATTTGACACGTTTCGCTGCGACAATAAGGAATTGCTTTAAGAAATCTGTAAATAAATCTCGAAGTCTTGAATAAGTATTTGTTTCACTTACAATAACTGTTTTAAGTTAAAACAATTGTGTCATCAATTTTCATTACTGTTGGATAAAAAAAAATTAAATTCATTGTAAACGATGGGCCGCTTCTCTTGAATCTCCCCTAATAATTACTTCAAGGTGATTTCGGTGATTTCATTTAATTGACCATTATTATTTATTATTTTATATAAATAAAATTGGTATTAAATGAATATTTTGTTCAAAGTAACATTATAGCTTTAGTAGTTTGCATTTTCATAGTCATCTTTCTAATACGTTAATGATGACAATATCATTTTGATCAAAAATAATTCGAAGCATTTTAATGGTATTTGAAATTTAGGCTTCAAAGTTGATATTATAATTATATAAACAATAGGTTGCTGCCGAAATCATTAACAAGCAAGCCTAACGATTAGTGATATGTTAGGTGATCTTGAAAGTCGTCAAATAATGCTTGAAACGCATGTTCGTTACACTCCTCACTCAAAATGTTTGCTCAAATGATGAAATTACTTTTGAAAATTAAGGAGATATTGTTCAAACTTGTATTATCAATAATAAGCTGAATATTTAATAAAGGATTAAGTCAAAATTTTTCAAATTAAATTTCTATATTAGGGTTTTGAATACCTAAAAAAGAATTCTTTAGAAAATATCTAAAAATCCTGAAGCTCTTTTTAGATCACCGAAATTTATATCACTTATCATTACTTGATAGATTAAATTGAAATTTTAGTATTATATGCTAAAATGGACATTTCAAAAATATCCACTCCATTAGAAATTGATAATGTATCTTGCTGGACATCGAACAATTTTGAAGTGTTGGAAAATATACTTCATGATATTATACACATAATTTAATTATTCAGATCATTTTGAATTCTAGTTAATTAGCGGAAAATTAGTCTATTTGAACAAATCTTTCATATAGGATATCATTTTGATCCTGATAGTTTACCTCAGAAAATCAAATTTTCTTTGGATTCTATTCTCATTGAATGCAATTAGATTTTAATAATTTGCATGTTGGATTAATAAAAAAGATAAAATCCCATTATAATTCTGAAAATATTACTTATTCACTCATACTTCTTTATCATACCAGTCAAGATGTATTTGATTCAACAAATTCATGAGTTACAACAAAAAAAAGGTTCAATTATCAGAAATGTCATATTTATTAGTGTATACAATCAATTAAATTGAAAATGATTTGAGGGTATGCTTGAATAATATTTTGAAATTAATAAATTTACAATATTTTAAATAATTCAATTTGTTTATAAATACTAAGGCTCATATAAAGATAAATATATGTAATTTACGCTCACGAATCTTTCATTTTTTACAATATATCATCAATAAAACCATGAACATAAATCTTTCCATTTAAAAACCTCATCTCCTACATCTTTTATTTTTCATTTATTTTTTGTCATTTTATCTGTTATTTCAATTGCTTCTTTTTTAATCGCCTTTAAATTCATTTTTTCTTTTTTTTTATCTTTTGATTTTTTAATTTCTTCTTTCATTTTTTTTTTTGATATTTTTATTTTACCTCTTTCATTTTTTCTTTTTTTTATTCAATTTTTTTTACTTATTTTATTTAATTGCTTTTTATTTCGTTTTTTCATTATTTTTTTAGATATTTTTATTTCACTTCTTTCGTTTTTTCCTTTTTTTTATCATTAGATTTTTTTACTTATTTATTTAATTACTTTTTATTTTATTTTTTCATTATTTTTTTCGATTTTTTATTTCACCTCTTTATTATTTCCTTTTTTTATTGTTCGATTTTTTTTTCAATTGCATTTATTTCGTTTTTTATTTTTTTACTATTTTTTTCACTTCTTTTTACTTATAGCTTTAGTACAACTTGTTGCTCCTGCTGTTCCTCATTTCGAATGGACTATTGACGTTATATGAGAAATAATTCGTCTTCAACATGATTATCATAATAATTTTGAGTTCATTCCAAATAATCGTTATGAAAGGATATGGTAAAACATATCCAATGATTTATTAAATAATGAGGGTTTGTTGTTTCTCTCGCCCAATGTAAAAGAAAATGTTACTCGTTGAAATATGGGTATGAAAATTTAAAGAGGTTGGAAGTTGAAGAGAATCTTCATGACCAACCAATAATAAATCTAACTCTGCATACTCAGATATTTCATGCAGAGTTGAGTAACGAATTTTGGGTTCGATTTGGTAATTATTTATTGAATAATAGTAATAAGAAATATATATTTTACTTTTTAAAACTTCAATTTTTTAATTTATTTATTATTTTTTTATTATTTTTAGACATAAATCATCATCGGTATAGAAGAAAGAATGTAAATCACCACTGGTACCAGTACTGACATAGATTTTATTTTCACTAGCATTGTAGATCCTATTTTCATGATCGTTCTCAGAATCATAGATCACATTCTCACTGTTATTGTTCACAGAATCATAGAACACGTTTCTGCCATCATTCAAGGGATTATAGATTCTGTTTTCGAAGATACAGAATGAGATCATATTTTTCACGAAGAAAGAGAAGTTTTTTGCTAAGGAAGCATTAATTTCTATTTTTTATTTTTTTATTTTTTTTTAATAATTTTATTTTAATTTTTAATTTAATTTTTAATTTTTTATTTTATTTTAATTTTTATTATTATTTTATTTTTAATTTTAATTTAATTTTTATTTTTATTATTTTTTTTTTAATTTTTTTTATTATATTTTTTTTATATATATTATTTTTTTTTATTTTTAATAAATTTTTTTTAAAAAAAATATTTATAATAGCATTAATAGTTTTGCAATTATACATGAAGTTGAAATGGATCATTTCGGATATCCGAAATGGTCGAAATGGTTGAAATCATTTTTTTTTTATTTTTTTGATACTTTTACTAAGACCGCACAAGTGGTAATATATTTAGATGCATACCTTTCAACAGAATGATACGTCTTACAACACGTCAAATTCCACTATTAACCCCTTTTGCTATATTTCAAACCAGCGTGGGTTGGCGTTAAACCTAGGTGAATGAGTGTCAATATCCGAGTAGACTGCCAAACCAATGAACCTTCAGGGTAGAAAGATATGGTACCCAGCCATTATTCACATTTATCACAACTACTGGAAAGAAGATCAAGAATAACATAAAATGATAGCCTACACCATAATTGCCTCACCATACGTCAAAATCACCCCAAGAAATATACTCAGGCCTCCAAATCCTAGTTGTGATATAGATACCACGATGAATGAAGACAGTGAAATATCAATCACCTATAACCTGCGACTTTTGTTCAATCTAAGTTATATAGTACCTACTATTGACCTACCCTCACAGGTACTCTTTGCAGACGATGCGGCACTTGTTTATTACAAACCAGCCCCCACTATCAGTTCCAAACTCAATTGGTTCATGATAGGTGAGAATATCTATTACCATTACCTGTTGTCAGAATAGTATAGATCTAGGCGAAGCGAACTTATACCATATTGGTAGTAACTACAGTCAACCCTTGATATAACGAATTTTATGTCCTGAACTTCAACTTCGCTATAGAGCTATAGTGAATTTTTTAAAGAATTTGATTGGCTAGTTCGTTATAACGAGGGTAAATTTAATATAGTTGTCCAAAAAATTCGTTATATAAAAATTCGCTATAGAGAGGTATGACTGTACTATCACATCTTATAGACATCTCAGGATCACCATATTCTACAAATTCGTGATTTTAACGTATATGGTTTGTACATACCCTATGAAATTCATTCCTGGAATCAAACTGGTAAATCCCGTAAATTAAATTATTACGATCTGCCTTGACCAGGAGCTGAACTAGGGTCTATTGCAGTGTAA